GAGATAGTGGTTAAATACCTGGCAGGATAGGGACTCTCCGCGAGTGACCTGAGGTACTGGTTCAACTCCCTCTCTTTGCTTTCACTTGAATGCTTCTGCTGGGAAGCACGCACATGCGTGGCCAGAGCAGAATGCCCTCGTTCTAGGAATTTAGCGAAGCCTCTTGCCTCAGGGAAATGTTTATTCGGTGGAAATTCTGTGGGATATTTTTTTCTTTACATGCTATAATGAATGAATGAATGGTTTTGAACAGAGTCGCAGCAAGGCAGAACCACGCAAAGCCCTGACAGCTGATGGGGAGCCAGGAGTCTGGCATCTCTGCCTTGACAAGGCAACTTGCAACACTTTCGTGACAGTGTGGGGAGGCGAGGCTCCCATGGCACTTACTTAGTATGGCAGTTCCTTTTGGGTGTAAGAGCTGCAGTTTACTACTATTATATTTTTGTGTGTGTGTTGGGACTGTCTTGCTGAAGATGAGGGGGGTGGTATGAAAACTGTCAATCTTGTACAGAACAACTGAATAAATTGTTTCAAAGTTTCCAAAATGCTTTTTCCATCTCCTTACCTCTAGTTTCATGATTTTGTTTTCAAGAGTAGCTTTAGCTTGGATGATCATCTCTTGCTCATTTGTTTCTTGGATGACCAATGGATTAATTAGCTTTTTAACTAAAGTCTGCTAAGTGGTAAGTAAATTATAGCTCTGTTTCTAGACTTTGTGGTTGTCAGATTGCATATTCTTATTCAATGGATGTGATCCTGCAGACTTCTGAAGTTACATCTGCTGGAAAAAGCACGTGGGGGTTCAGAACTGGGAGCAACGGCAGTAATTTCTGTGTGTTCCTTTCATTCACAAAGCTAAAAATTATTTTGTCCATCTCTAAAGCCAGGATGGATACGCAGTGAATGCTTATTGGTGCTTCTGTTGACAGCAGAGTTTACTGGGGTCTGGGCATTTAGCTCTGCATAGGCTTATTGGAAGCGAGTGTGTTGCATAAGGAATGCAGACTATAATCTGAGTGCAGCCGAAGACGAGCATTGCCAAAAGACAACGCTGATTTGCCAGATCTTTCACTGGACAAGAGGGTTAAATGATGTGAAAAGACCCCAGGTTTTAAATGTTGATTATCTGCATGCCCAGGATTGGGGGGGG